ATTAACTGTGTAATCCATCATTCATTTTCTCTCAGGTGTCAGCATCACGTCTATGTATCAGTGAGATACATCAGTCTATATCATATCAGAGCAGCAATTTCCACCTCTGCGATGAAATATTAGACTTTCTTTTTTGCTTTGCAGTATTGCTTTAACATAAAAAACAGGATTGCTTGTCTTTGTGTATGTACTCATATACTCTGCAATAAGATCAAAGCATCAAGAGCCATTTGGGAGTCAGAACTGAATGAAACTTTAAAGTGATGATGGTGAAAACAAACGCATGGCTGCTGAGTACTTTGTGAATGGGCACTCTTCACTTCCAGCTCAAGGTTTCTCTTTCGCTCTTGAGATGGATTTCAATGAAAAATTTCTCATTTAGCTATGAATGCAGCGTCTATGATGCCCTAGAGTATATTCTGTAAGTGATATTGTTTAATTCAAGTGGATACCTACTGTATATCAACCTGAACACTAACAGTTAAAGTCTTGCAGTTTCCCATTTTCAGAGACACAGAAAAACTGAAAATATAATATAACATTTGAGATGCTGGAGCAACTGACTTGTTGGTATATTTGATGAAAAAAACAAAACCAAGAAAAGTAATTGTTTCAAGTCAATGAAACGTGAAATATGTAACTTTGGCCGCTAAGGGTAAAAACAATAACAAAAGACATATGATGTTGTGAAGGATCATGGGAGATGTCTTCAACAAAGATCTATCTCTGTAACGTCCAATTACCTTGAATAAAACTGGGGTTTTCTCTGGGTTTGAACATTGTTGGGAACATTTTGGATAATGTAAGTACACAAGTCAACAAAATATATAACATAGTATGGAATTTCTCTTACTTCCTGTGCATGTATTGACTCCTATATCATATTTGGTTGTAAATAGCATATTGTATTGTCCATCAGTGTGTCTCAGAGGTACACAGATGCCACCACTGCATATTTTGCTGCACTTAATGGACCCAGCAGAGCAAAGAAGGGACAGGATACTGAGAGCTGTAGCCAGTGACAGTGACTTCTGAGTCAGTCTGTCAGATTTGTGGAGAGATTAACATCTGAAACAGTGAGATCAGCTATCCTTCAATCACTGTGGCTCATTTCACCCTTGTTGAACCCACCCTATCATTTTCACCTTTAGTGCAATTTTGCACAGTGAGCTAAGTTGAGACAGTGACCATGGATACAAACGAGATAAAGTGAGAGGCATAGAGAGAGATGCTGCAGATAAGTGTGTGTTATGTGAACAAAATGGGCCATGAGAGAAAGTGAGACACAGTCTATAAAAGGCTGCAACTCACAATTATTTGAATTTTTTATTATCTAGGTTATGTTTTCACCTCTGTCTGTTTGTTTGTTGGTTTGATTTTAAGCAAGATGCTACATGATTTTAACTATCAAAGTTGGTGTTGCATTATTTTCTTACAGACTACATATTAACCCTTGGTTCCTTGCTTTTTAAATCAGCACAAGACTGATATTGTATTTTAAGTGACATTTCAAGAGGAGGCAAAGCCTACGGAGAGAGCTACAGATGGAAGGACAGACAGACAAACAGAAAGTGAGAGATACTTGAGGCAGTCATGTAGAACATCAACTCCAACTAGACAGTCTGCTATAAAAAACAAAAAAACATGGGGAGGCATGTCTCTCAGCTTTTCTTCCTCTCTGTTCTCTTTAATCTGACAGCCTTCCCCCCCCTCTGTCCATCTCTCTGTCTCTCTCCCTCTCTCTCTCTGTCCCCCTGAGCTGTGTTCTGTGTGTTCCATCCCTGCCTCTCTCCATCTCCCTTCCTCTAATGTGCTCTGGCGGGTGTTACCCACGGGTGCTTGCGCTGCTGCTGCTGCCATCCTAGAGCCGGGTCATGGGGGCAGCTGAAGCGGCGCGATGCTGTCTGTGACATCATCAGTCACTGTTATTACTCACATCTCACCTCCCCTCTGCCAGGGCTTTAGGTGCTTGGTTGTGGGCTGATGAACACACACACACATACACACACACACACACACACACACACACACACAAGCAAACAAATAAACAAACACAGATTTACACCCCTGCTCTCAGAGCTAAATTAAATATTATTAGAGGAGTTGAAATTCTGAATCCCACTTTGAGGTTAAAAACTGTTCAGTGTCACTCTGAAATTAGATAGTTGGTATACAGAAAATATTAATGCTTCATAAGCAATCAATTTGCCATTGTAGGTGTTTGTTGAATATGTTGAATATATATATTTTTTTCATTTAATTATTCAAATTACCAGTTTCAATCTAATTGGACTGCTAAAAGGGCACAACAGTACAATCAATCATTTAATATGACAGAATATTTTCTACACACAGTCAGTGCAATGTATGGAAAATTACAATTATTTTAATCACCGATTAATGTGTTGATTTTCAATTAATCCCTGAATAAAGCCATTAAAATGATTGAAAATGTTCCCTGCTGTCTTCACAATTTCCAAACTATAGTGGATTGATCTTCTGTTGATCTAGTAATCGACTAATAGTACCAGCTCTAAATATCAGCCGTTACTTTGTTGTGGTCAGTAACTGAAATGTTTTCTACAGAATTAAACTCTCAACTCAATATTTAAGTTGGTTAGTTTTAATCTAAAAGCACTACAAGATAGGTTTGTTGTCAGTAACAGAAAAGTGAGTTTTAAGTGCTAATACAGAAAACAATTAACATATGCCACAAAAGTAAAGTAAAAAATAAATCAAACCTCACTTGTACTTTCAATGTATGAACAAAAGAACATGAGAATCTGCCGTTGAATCTCCCTCCACACGAGTTATAAAGCTGTTCATACTCTATGTGTGTAAAAGGGAGAAATGTGCTTCCATTCAGCAAGCATGTGTGCAGAGTTCAGACTGTGTCAAATCACCACATGTGCCATCAGCAGAAACACCCCTGTACCTCGGGGTCTGTCTGTCACCCCCGCTGACAGCCAATGAAGAGGTGAGAGTCTGCAAACTCCTTCACTCAGGAATACTGATAGCTGCTATGAACGCCCTGAGCCTGTGTGTGGGAACACGCCATATAAATCATACATGACCAGCACCACCAGGCACCATATGCATGCTACAGCACTGCATTAATAACAAGCATGCCAGTGTCACATTCACAAGCACACAGAGAATGTAAATGTCTGCGTCTTCCTTTGTCTCGCGCCTCTGCCCTCCTAACATGTCCACTTGAAAGCACCTGCAGCGAACTCAATAACCCGCAGACAACAAATGAGACAGAATTGATACAGAAAAGATAGAAGGGTTGGAGAACGGATAAATCAGACAACAATGACAGAATAATGACATTTGGAGTATAAATACCTGAAGGTATGAGTATCTGAAGATGAAAAACAACAGTGAAAAGTACATGGGGACATATAAAAGGCAGAAGAAAGAGTCTGAAAAATATGATATGGCTAAGTAGAACAGACAGATGAACTTAAGGAGAGACACAAGAGAGAGACAGAGACAGACAAAGAACGAGCAGGAAGAACAAAAGATGAAATGATGAAACACAAAAGAAAGGAAGGGGGAGAGACAAGGACAGGATAGGAGGCAGACAGAGAGGAAGAGGGAAAAGAGAGAGAGAAAAGGATGGGCAGGCAGAATAAGAAAAAGAAAGAGCGAGACGGAGGCGCAGGGCGGCATTGCGCATGCGGAAATAGGTGGCAGACTCTTGTCAGTGCAGTGACCTAGTCGCGCAGGACTGAGGAATTCTCCCCGTCGACCCGGACACATTCCTCCAGTCCTCAGACGTTAACCCATGCCACACCACCCTACTGTACTGCAGTGGCTCCTCTGTCACTGACCCATGAAATACATCACTTTAATAATCTTGCAGATCTGCATGCTGCCGACACTGCATAGTTTATGTAGTAGAATTAACATTTCTCATTGTGAGTGGGTGCTGTGAATAAATCTGGAAATCTAATAAGTCACCTGCAGTGTATTTACAAGGCACTTCCTGAACAGTGGGAGCGAAATGCTGCAAATCTTTGAGCAAACACCTTCAACGAGAATTGAAATATCAGGTAAAGTGCAGAGCTCAACCGGCCCTGAATCAATGTTCTGTGCTGCCTGCAGAGAATGTGTGCGCGCGCATCGCTCCTCTGCAAAAACACATTGTGAAAATATCAGGCTAAGAAGGGCTCTATTGTGTCACAGAGGCAGAATGTAGCTCTTATTCTCCTGCTGTTGGACCGGGGGCACAGGGTGACATCAGCACAAAGACAAAAATGTAATGTGAGGCATCTCCAAAGCTAGCTTCAAGTCTTGACCACAGGACGCTCTTTATACCCGCACTCTTTCACTTTTCAGCAACATCTGATAATCGGGACGTGACCAACAGATGACCCTTCACTTGTTGCTTACAAAGATAAGTCACAGCCAACATTGTAACACGGAGCTGAGTGGTGCGCTCACAAAATGAAAGATTGTCCGCTCGCTGCTTTCACACAGGCAAATGGTTAGCACATATCTGTGAGGTTAATCACAACAGAATGAGTCAGGGAAGAGTAATTCAATTATTCTGATGGTGTATTGACGTTTCGATCGAGCCACAGACTAAAATGGCTGACCAAGTGTTCCTGACTGCTGACTGCCATTAAGCACAAATCTGCTCAGTTAAGCACTTGATTTCACACAAACCTAAACACAGAGGATAAGTAGAAAGTAAAGTATCTGCTGCTTCTTCTGGACCCTCTGTTACTTACATATGAAAATAAAATATTAAATAAAATATTTCCTTACCGGATAAACATCTTCTATGAGAAGGTTCAGGTTGTCTCGGTGACTCAATCTGAAACAAACAGACATTATTCGCATTATAATCATACTCAGAATTGCAGCTGATTTATCTCTTTAATTTGAACTAGTTCTGGATTACGGTTGAGTAATTTGACTGAAACTCTAACAAGATGATCACTTCTGATTAACTGATTAAAAACGATCATATGAATAAATAAACATCTAAGATACAATCTATGTTTAATATTGTTTTATTAGGCCCCACCTAATAAAACCATTATTTTAAGGTATTTTTAATCTTCTATTAAATAAATAGATTCTTGCAGGCATTTGTACTACTTGTGTTTTACACCAGGTCTGTTGTACTCGCACGATAGGGCTATGTCAGTTTGCAGCAAATTCAGCAGCACAAATTCAAACCTGCTACACACAAAGGCAGCTTGCATGGGAATTCCTGAGGTCTGTTCGATCCATTAATGTATGCTGCGGTTGAATGTCATCAATTATGAATGAGAAACACAGAGAGCTGGAACAGAATCATGCGAACAGCGCCGGGTTGTTGTACCTTGAGTATCTCACACAGAAATGCAGTTTAAAATGACTGAATGAGGCAAAAAAGCCAGTAAGCTGCTATAGGTGACGTTATTCTACTTCCTCAGCCTTTAGGTGTCAGACACTTCTGTCCATATGTGAGGATACTGCAGTGGGGGCCTCTTCCCCTTTAAGGCACAGGTATTCAGGAGTGTGTTGACCCTGTCAGTGAGTTCATACCATAAGCAGACCCATATAGCCTCTCCTCCAGAGCCCCTGATCACGAGCCTGCTGAGCTACCGCCTCAGTTATGTAAGATTACATAACACCAGGTCTGTCTGAGTAATATTTCATAACCTGAGGGTCCAACTACACTGGTATTATCACCAAATCCCCCTAGGAGTGGTATCAAAGGTATTAGGCAGGTTTGGCAAAGTAAAAGTCAAATTTGAAAACATATAAGAGCAAGTTGAAGGCTCGGAGGGGATTTGTCATTGCAAAACCTTTCCTGTGTCTTTAGCTGCAGATCAACGACTTTCCTCTTCATTTTCTGCTGAGGTATAGGTCACGGAAATGTTGAGGCAGGGACACTACTAAACAAAAGCATCCTCCCCCTTGGCTTATCACACAACACAGTGATGCTTTCTGCCCATAAATGTCAAGTCATTGTGTTTTAATTAAATCATTGCATATGAATTAATCCAGCACATGCTTAGTACCTCAACATTATTAAAGAACAAGGCCAGGAACTGTTATCTTACGACCTCAGCTTCATTCTTATTATATCTCCATAATTCATTATTTTATTAAAAAATATCCACACTGGTTTTAATCAAAACTTTTACAACAATGTCCTCAAATAACTTCAATAACCTCATGATAAAGACCGATTTTAAAATATTCAGAGAACAAGCTTCTGCTTTTCATTTACACATTCACACCAATAACAAAGAATATCAGCCGCACACATGTATGCACATTTCCTATGGAGCGATACCAGCGAAGAATGTCAGATATAGATAACAACTGTGGCAAATGATGGAGAAAATGTGGGCAGAGATAACAGGAAGCTGTGTAAATAAAAAACAGAAGAGGCAGATAAAAAAATACAGGAGAGGAAAAGGAAAGGAAAGAGATGCCAAGAGATATCTGAGGCTTATACTGCAGGGGGGAAGAGGTAGACTACATTCGATGGAGGTTATAGCAGATGGACTGCAAATGGTTGATAGCAGACCTGCGTTATATACACAGTATCAAGCCTCTGTCTACTGTCTAGCATCCACTGTATTTGAAGTGCAAAAATGCATTAATGTAATCTGCTGCTGTCGACATCTTTACATCGCAGATTTGCACCGAAAGCCTCCATCTTTACCTGAAACTTCGCCACACCAGACAAAAGTCGTGTTGGCAAAATGCGCAGGATGTAAAGATGAAAAACTTGTTGAAACTGACTCCGGGATGTTACGCAGCTTAGGCACTTGAATAAATCCACCCTTATCTTTGGTTCACAACGAACCACATCTTGGACCGTGGGTTTTTTCTTTACGGGCGGACCAACAGATAAACTGGGGATACCCGGATGGAAGATGGGATAGAAAAGAGGGGGAAAAGCATGGGAGGAGTAAAAGAAGTGAATGAGAGAAGAGGAAGAAGAAACCCTGCAGCACTTACAGTGTTTCATCTCTTCGCTCCGCCTCATTTTAACACCTCACCTTCTGTTTCTGTGCATTTTATAACTAACAACATCACACAATCTTTCTTAGAATATGAAACATGAAACGTGATGCGAATCCACGCATGCGCAAGCAGGACTGACTGTCCGCCACTGCCGGCTCCTTTAACACCCCAGCATATGAACACGCACACGCACACACACACACACACACACACACACACACACACACACACACACACACACAGATACACATGACTATAGCAGATACATACACACACAAATGCACACACCCTGCCTCCTGCATGTGCTACCCTCCCATGCATGGGCCCCCTAAAACGGGGTGCACTCAGTGATCCCTTTCCCTCAGCCTTCATATGAATGTGAGGTAATCCTTCAAGGAGAGGCAAAGAGAACAGCGATAACCCACGATAAAGAGGAGCTGAAGGAGGAAAGAGAGAGACAGTGAAAAAGAGGGAGAGAAGGTGGAGCACGAGATGGGATAGACCAACAGGATGGAGGGATTAGCAACCTAGGGAACACATTTTTCAAACAAGAAAAAAGACGACAGTTGAAAAATGAAGCGAAGGAGAGGAGAAGGCTTCAAGGGAAGACGGAACACAGGGAGGATGCATGTGTGAAGGAAAAGAACGTGTACACACAGTATACTCACAGATGAATGAGAGGGTGATCGCAGAAGTGATGAAAAATCATGTCAAAAAACTAAAAATGAAAGGCAACCAGAGACTGCAAGCCTGAGTGAAGCAGAAGTCCAGCTTCATCTGATTCTGGAGTTTTGTTTTTTCTCCTTTTCCCGCGATTTTTGCCATTTTCTGTCCAGTCGTCCCTCCTTCCTAGGTCTATCCCCTACTGGTCCCCCTTCTCCTCTTTTCCCCCTCCCGTTTTTCTTGCCAGTGCCGGTACTCTTTTTCCAACCTCTCTCTCTCTCTTTCTCACTTTCTCCCGCAGACCATGCTCTCCATTTTCCCCTCATTCTTTGCCTGTGTCCCCTTCGTCTGTCTATTAATCGGACACTTTCTTTTTTTTCCCACCCTTCTTCATCTACTGCTTCAGATTGAAGATGAGATTTAAAAAAAAAAGGTCTCTTAACTATAATCGAGTTTTGAGTTGGAAAAAAAATACTGCAGTTTGTGGCATGCAGTTTAACGCAGGGACAATCCACGGCCTGCGTTTTTCAGAGTCGCCACGTAGAGCAGGGGTGAAGCGTCTGTGTGGCGGTGCCTCCTTACATGAGGGTATAACCAAAAGCAAAGGATGGCATGCAAAAGAAAAAGAAGGAAAAAAACTGAGCTTGTTGCAGTCGTCCCCAGCGAAAGTGGACAGTAAGAGCGCGTGAGGAGAAGGAGTGGGAAGGAGTCCGGGGTGTGTGCATGTGAGGTGGGTGGGGAGAGAAAGGAGAGCCAGAGAGGAGAGAGAGAGGGAGAGAAAGAGATAGACCGGGGGGTTCATAGAGAAATATCCAAGAGGGAGGGATAGAGGAGGAGTGTGTCAGTGGGGAGAGGAAAGAGGAGGGGGCAGGAATAGGAATACATTTTTTTTCTTTCACACTCACTGTATTTGAATTTTGAGCTTTAAATTTTTTCACACCACTCATTCCTAGACTAATACCTTCTCTTTCTGTGAGAAGAAAATAGAGAGAAAGAAAGAAGAAAAGAAAGAGCTACTGTGTGCTTTGTCTGCCGCCCCTGCCGTTCCTTTTCCTGGTTTCCTTTCTGCTCCGTCTCTCCTCTATTCAGCCTATTTTCTGCACGTGCACTTGAACTCTAAATCCTGTCTGCTTTCCCCTCCCCTCTCTCTCTCTCTGTCTCTCCCTCAGCAGAGGCTTGAAATAGTGCTAGCAGGCAGGAGAGAGCAAGTGGGAGGGAAAAGGAGAGGGTGAGGGGGACAAAAAAGGGGAGAGAGATGTTGAGAGGGGGGAGGGGAAGAAGCTTTGACGACTGACACACAGAAAGCGCAAGGCTGCTGTGCGTGTGTTTGTGCATGTGTTTGTGCATGTGTGTGTGTGATATGAACATGTATGCACACTTATAAACGTACATGTTTCTATGTTGTTTTTACACACCCTGGAGTTAATCCGTTTATGATGTGAGCCAGGTCAACTGAAAGGAAATCTATAACCTCTCAGGGACAAAGTAAGAAAATGATTAAAACAGCAGGATTTATAAAATGCACTTCGGACAAAGCACTTAAATTAAGCAAATGCTGTGAAGGCAATGGACGACAAAATCAGTGCAGTGATTAATCCAACTGTTTTGTCAGTTAATCACTCAAAAAGAGAATTTCACAAATAATAAATAAAGTTTTATGTGAAGCTATCTGAGCTAAAACATGATTAATTCAACCTGCTAATGCTCTTGAAGTGACAATTGAAAAACCAAAAGGGACTGTTGAGAACTGAATAATTCAACTCTAAACACAACTTCCTGTCATATTCATTTCAAAATTAGAATGTGATCATCACATGCACACATCAGACTCAGATTGTAGTTGTCTGTATTTTTGAAATGGCAAAATATATAAATATATAAGTTTAGTAAATAAACAATAGGTCTAAAACTTAAAGACATTAAAGACATTTATTTTCTCAATGATTCAAACAATTGTTTGATCTATAAAACATTACAAATCTGTGGAAAGTGCCTGTCTGTGAATATGCTTCAGCTCACTATAATATGAGGCTAAGAAAAGCAGTGAATTCTCAAATTTCACACCCTACAACCATAAAGCATTTAATTCACGAAATAAATGTAGAATTGATTGAGGATCAGAATAGTTGTTAAGTAGCTGTGACGCCCTCTTTGGTGGGGCTGTTGTCTTGCGATTGTGACTAAGCCTTCCCCTGTGATTCTCTATGGTCTGTTGACCTGTTTTGTGCTTTTTTTGCATATCAAAAGTTAAATAAAGATACTGACAAAAAAAATTATATTTGTTTAAGATTAAAACCTTTTAATTAAAAAAAAAACCAACCAATTCATTAAAACAAACTTGTACCTGGCAAGAAGCGAAAGTGTAATCCATCTAATAACCTGCAGACCTATCAAGAGAACAAATAACTAATGGTGTTTTAATGTCTTGGGAAACAGATTTGTAACTCAGACTGTGAACACAAGATGATTTTATAGCTAATGCAAAAACACATTTGTGTGTAATTATGTATTTTTAGAATTTGTAATTGCTTTATAAAAATGGACCCCTGCAAAAAGGTGAGAATAAAAAATGTTCTCTCTGTCTTTACAAAGAACTAACTTTGTTCCAGAATTTAGAGCTTTTATTTCTGAATTACTGCATGCAGTCAGCGCCTGCTTTAATTTCCAGGGGCATCAGTCAGCTTGACAAAGAAAAGACCTGGACAGTGGACAACATCTAAAAAGATGGCTGTAGCAAAGAGTTTTCATTCCTTCTCATGCATGAAATAGAAAGATCGTGATCGTCACACTTCAACAAAAGTTATAAGCTACAAAAACTACATTGGTAATCTCTTATAGAGGACAGATAAAGAGAGCACGGGTACTAACCCTCCACTGGTGGTGTCCTCTCCTCTCCTCTCCTGCAGCACACTTCCTGATGAGCCTCTGGGTCTGATAAGAGAGAGAAGTAGGCCAGAGATGTGAGAAAGGTGACACAACTCCACCCTCTGCTGGGATCCAGCGGGAGCAGCTCCCTCCCACCCAGCAGCAGCAGCAGCAGCAGCAGCACAGAGAATAAAACACCTTATTTAACCACCACGTTCACACAGATATGAAGCTCACCGAGTGGTTGAGATATAAGTGGAGGATTTTAGACTGAGTGTTTGGGTTAGCTGAGTTTAAGGGCAGGGATAAGCGGTGATCTGCAGCTGCTGGTGAGGTTAACTCAGGCTACAGCATCAGGATGAGGGCAGCCTCCCTCCCTCCCTCCATCACTCCTCAGCATCCCTCTCTCTCTGCTGCTGCTGCTGCTGCTGCTTCCCCGCATTAGCTCCGGGCTAAACTGGGACTGAACTCCATCCCTCACCCCGACACTTGTCTGTCGTCTCTGTACAGTACATGAAAAGTAAGACCCTGGTTTTCACTGTTCAAGACGAGAGCTGCGCGTGTGGCCAGCTGTGAGCCGTGCCTGCTAACGGCTTACTTAAGCTAGCTGGCAAGTTAGTTCGCAAACTAGCTAGTTAGCTAACGTTAGCAACGGCTGCGGTGGTCTCAGAAGATGTCAAATGAAATATTTAAGCTCACCGTCGTGTCCTCTGTGTGTTTGTCTAGATGCCCAGTGTGACAGTGAAGGATGTCAACCAGCAGGAGTTCGTCAGGGCTCTGTCAGCCTTCCTCAAGAAGTCAGAGAAGTTCACACACACACACACACACTCATCACAACCCTAACCCTAACCCTTCCAAAGGTCGCAGAAGCTCGGGGGTGGTACCAATGGATCGGGCATAGCCA